ATAATTAGGTACTCGCAAAATATTTCGAATGTGCAATTAATATTAATTTGAGAGCAGATCATATTGATATTGCTCCACTTGCTCAAAAATAGGTAATTAATATGGCAGATAAGGCAAATTTCAGGCCGTTACTTAATTTAAAACTAAATTTAAATAATCAAAAATATGGTTATTGCAATTTTGTAAACCAACCACCAGTACTTGCAGCTATATGGAGATTAGAGCCTATTAAAATAAAACAAGACCTCAAGAGCTAAAAGATCCGAACACGTGACGAACCAATCAAATACCACTCAGATTGAAAAATCTAGCGTCTAAAAATAGATCATTGTTCTGATCCCAAACACACGCGGCGAACCAATCAAAAACCACTCTAATGGAAAATTCTGACGTCTAAAAATAAATCATCATCAAAGAGGGTACATAGCATAATTTAACATCAACCCTGCTCATATCTTGACATACTGTACCATTGAACAAGGCTTTCACTGATCGGTAAAATAAGCTTTTCGTTTTATTTTGTCGTTTGACGTCATATCATTTCATCTGATTTTGTTGGATGATGATTAATCACTCTACACTCGACTGTCACGTGACTTTTTCAACCCGTTCTCTAGCTGGCCCTGAACGACTGTTCGAAACCATAACCCTATAATCTTATCCTAACCCTAGCCCAATCCTTAACAAAAGCATATGCTGAAACCCTAACGAGAAATTAGACCAAATTCTTTATATGGTCATATCACGTGATCGAGACAGTTTTACCCCAATATCTTGCCAGGGGAGCATTTTAACCCTATGTCATGGAGGTGATTCGGAACCAGCGTCCGAAAATACATCGATTGACGTTGGTGTCAACTGTCGGGGGGGGGGGGGGCTTTTTTAAATTGATTTAGCACGCTCGGATTTTGTTTTACAATTTGTAACATATTTCAAGTGGATAAAAAGGTTTTAAACATGATTGTAAGATTTTCTGACACCGAATGTCAATGACGTTAAAGATTATTCCCAAAACTTTTAAAACTTTATAACTTAACTTACTATAAACTTGTGGAACCGGAAAAACGTTGCACTAGTTACTACAAGAAATAAATATGCTAATATGCTAAATTTCAGAATGTTTGAACTTCAGTTCGATTTCGTTACCCCACTTTTTTGGTGTTCTTTTTTCTTTTGTTCGCTCAGGAGAGCAAGACAAGCAATTTTGCCATACAAGGTTTGAATACAAAATGTTGAAATATAGATATTACTGTACCTTCAAAAAGATTTGCTCCAAACTCTATGATTTATATTCTAATACAACATAACAAAGACTGTGATTTTTATTGTAATACAAAATAGACAATACCGCCTCAACGGATATTTCCGTGCAGCCTTTTTGTCTTTACTTCTTTAATTTTATTAATTTATAGCGGTTTGTTATTATAAAATATTAAACCGATCCCATACGCTTCTCTGAGATTACCTAGTACTCCCAAGTCTACAATTTGCCTTTTTTCGTATAATCGACCAATAACTCTAATGAATTCAGGAACGACCGGCCACTGTAAAAAATTATTTCGCATACAAGATAGCTTCTACAGAAACACATTTAACATGAAGTTGAAAATGTAATTCCATAATCGATTATTATTTCATTACTCTTATCACAAAATTACTGAAATCTAATCGGTGGTGGTTTTTTTTCTCTGACTTATTGATTTTTTCTGAGAAAAATCCTTCGTCACAGCAGCAGTAACACAACAGAACTTGTTTAATTGATTGCAGTCAAATAAGCCCTATTGTTACATATTATTAAGCAACAACATTACTACACAACTTTGTCCGGTATTGTTTGTAATTAATGTCACAAATTATCCAGCTTAGCTTTAATTGTTATTATTAGTTAGACCTAGCTTTCAGACTGACCGGCGGTTCAATTTTGCTGGATTCAAAAGATTGGTAAGGATCTGCGCTAAATTGGATTAGTAGATCTGTACAATGATTGTAATAATAAGCCGCGTTGTAAACTTATTGTTGCAAGTAGTGCAGCGTTGTGCAAATATTTTCTGCTGAGTATTGCTAATGCTGAGTATTGATAATGCTGATTACATTAGTATCGGCTTGGACTTTGATTTGTTTCAGCGGGCTTGACTTCTTAGAGTGGGCTGAACGAATCGCGAGTCAACGATAAGTTTTGCTACAATTGATTAACAGTATTTATTTGAAGTTTTTCTTTTTGCAGAATGAATTCTCAGGGGTAGCATTATTGGTTCGTTGTATGGGAATAAAAATCATCTAAATAACATACAAGTTTTACTTAATCTTGATTACTTTTATTTTATTTTCGACTAATCGTTTAACCTAGAAGCCTTCGTCAAAGTTCCATTTGTTTGTCCCAAAAGCACCTGTTAGATATTGTATATTGGGACAAACTTAAATTACATCATAATAGGAAATATACAAAAGGTCTCTGCTGATTTGCAAGTTAATAAGCCTTCAGAAGTTCAGACATTGGAGGTAACTCCAAATTTGAGTTGACTCTGTCCAGTCAAGAAGGAAGATTAAACCGTTTGGTTTGTTGACACTTGGTTGATTTGTGGTTCCTATCCCTCTACCTCTGTACTAAGTGTAGACCGTTGATCATCCTAGTAGATTGTGGGAGGAATCATAATCTATACTCTGTCACAAACACTAAGGGTCCATCTACCACATCACCTGGGCACTAATTTTAAGATGGTCATTGGAAGCCGGCGACTCGACTGTTACAATCACGCTAACGCATGAGACAGTAGAACTTGATAAATGACCAGCACGCTAACGAGTAACGCGTTAGTAACGCGTGGATCATACCCTAAACGTAAAGCCATCGCAAAAATTGGCAAAAAAGCTGCAACCCGTGCAGAACAGCCAGGTTGCTACTTTTAATGGTAGTTTACCGGTATATTGGCTGGGGAAATGGTTGACTCCCTGCACTGAGACAAAGAAGGTGTGCCTCAAAGGAACCGTAATTACCAGCAAAATTTCGCAGACACGTTACAGTTTGAGTTATAAAATCATTGAGTGGGTGGTTAGTGGTAGTGGTATAAGGTTGAACATTTAGCGGTACATGTCATAGTCTAGCTGATACTCTTGTTCGCTTCATAACTAGAAATGGTTGGAATCGAATGATGACCGCAGTCCGACAGTTTAACGGCCTAGCCATTTCGCTTGGAACAGCATTCGACCATCCATATCCATTTTTAGCGGCGGATTCTGCCCGATCAATACACATTGAAGCCATACTAAGACATCATTTGCATCACTTACTAACATAATCATATTCAGCTAAGTAAGCTATGATTTTCACCGTCAGCTCAGTTTCTGCTCATTTCCACCATGGCTATGTGAATGAAAGTATGTTTAATCAACGAAACTCCAATCCTAGCCACCCAATGACATTAACCTGTCACCTGGCATCATCCTGAAACTCTGATTGGTAGACAAGAATTTTCAGTATATGTTCATCTGGGGCCGATATGTTTCTATATCTAGAACCAGCGTCCACCAGTGTCCAGTGCTGATTGGATTAGATTTGACAGTGCACCTAACACGGTTTAAATAAGAATATTGCTTGAAGTAAACATAGATTCGGCTGATTTAATGAATGCTATTTCTGCATTGACGCGTTGGGAGCTAGATATAAGTCAGGTACCATATATAAACTCAGGTACCATCTGAACTGATTTAGAAATTTGTAAAATCCCTACTGAAGGAGCTCATGTGTAATTTAAAAAATTAAAATTGTAAAGTCGCCATAGCCCCATTTTGTGGCTCCAACATAATAAATAAGTATAGTTAGTGTAACGCACGTGAACGTTAGTGGCACAAAATAAGAGCAAAATGATCGTAATCTATGCCGTAGCTGTATTTTGACCAATTTTAACCTAGGTAAACTATTATTCCATGTTCATTTTACAGTCCGGAATACTAGATACTAAGATAGTTAATATAATCAGACGGAATATCTAATAATAATTCTCCCGTTTTGTAGTATCTGAACCGAGCGAGCGCGGTCGGAGAGTTATACTTAAGAGCCACATATTCCATCAATTTGTTATACTTTAAAGTCTGTTCTTGGCTCCTCAGCTATAGGGAGTGGCTGTGATGTTGTGTTGTGGTTAAACTGAAAGTTACTATGATATCTGTGCTGCCGATATAATAACAGGATGGTATCTCCGTGGATTAGTCTGTACACTATATGAATGTTTTAGTACTCGTTCTGCAATATTGTCAGTATTCCTGCTGTGTTTTGAAAATTAAACTAATGTTGCTTGCCAAACGTAAGAAATAAAAATGTTCATGTTGAATTTGGTAGTAGTCAGTTTGTCTTTCCTTGACTCCTGTTGGAGCTTGCTTCCTTGCTTCCTTGCTTCCTTGCTTCCTTGCTTCCTTGCAGGCGCCAGTATCTGCAAACTTGTAATCGTACTCGTATAACTAGACTTCAGAATTTAAATTTGTTGAGTTCTATTGTATTTACCATGAATACTGGCTGCTTTAATTTTAATATCTTTATTAAACTCGGATCACTTTAAATTTATAGACCTATCAAGCAGCATTTCATTCGTATTTGATATCGATTATATCTATCTGGGGTATTTATCGTGCAAGTCTTTACCACTATAATTTAGTCACTAACGTAGCAAGGATCTGATCAAACAAGAATCCTAGACATTGAAGCTTTGAAGGATTGGTTTCTGGTGCGTTAGCTGTCCATTTCATGATTTGTTGAACCCACGACTGAACTGATTATCAAATTGACACTTCATATTTCATAATAATGATAGCGAATAATCTTGTTTTATAGAATCTTGACATTTAACGATTTATTTCTAATGCGGTTCATCGAAACCTTGACTGACATTATCATTAATCTGACGCGTCTGAACGCCGGGACAACTTCATAGATTGCGAATCTAAAGATAGAGTGCGAAACTTGTCACTTTATAAACCAGACCGTTATAAAACCGATGTCTTTATAGGCAATGCACCGGGAACGACTCTCATTGTAGAGTCTGAAGAAGTTATATCAGACGATAGATGAACTGCAAACCATCTTATCAAGATGTGAGTTTTTTTTAATCAAGTCATTAATTTTTTTTATTTTCGTTGAGAGGACATACCTCTAAAAATTTCATTTCTAAAACTTATGATTTAGATAAGATCATAGATTGAAGATCTTGTTATTCGGTATACAGACGAGCAGAGCATGTCTCATCTTACGACAATATTAGGGCTTTGATCACTGATCAGTGATGGTCGAGTGGATTGGGGTGGTCGGTGGACTGCAAAGTATCCTGCTCAACACTGCAAGATATACACAAAACCTACTCATTTCAGGAACGAAACAGGCGAATTTTCACTCAAAGATCTTCCACATAATGTAATCTTCTTCGGTACAACTGAGGCTCCCGATCCTCGGGATCATTTCTCCAGCTTTCAGCTCATCATAATGCAGGTTTATTATAATTTCTCTTCGATTTACTTTAAAGAACTCTCATGATCATTGATCATTGCTTCAATTTTGAATAATGAATTCCAAATTTCAAACGCCTCTGCGACATGGTAAATAAGCCCTCTTCATCAAAGCTTTAAATAGATAATTAGAAAATCTCCTTGAAGGTGATGATCTCCCTAGTGGCACTAGCAGGAGCGTTAGGAAACCTCCTGATCGCCGCTGTAGTCCTCACTTTTCGACGGTGGAGGGTCCCTACCAACATCTTCCTCTGCAATGTGGCCGTAGCTGATCTTATCATATGTCTCTGGACTCTCCCCCTAATGATTGCTAGTATTAATAAAGGATGGTAAGAATGTGTAAACCTTTCAGTTTATTCATGTTACAAAATTTGTAAAATCTAGTTTTGCTTTAAATTTGGAAACATTATGACCATTTCTACATCACTTTTTGACATCATGGCTCAATATTCAAACTGGTATTCTTATTGGTTATCAAAAAGTTTGGTTGCTACTACATAGTACATACTAGCATTCTAAACCTAATCTGATATTTTACCTGTAGGTGGCCGCTGCCTATCTGGTTGTGTTCTCTGGGTGGATTTCTTGACAATGCATCCTACGTGTGTTCGGCTTGGTCTCTTGCTTTCGGTAAGTTGGTACTTAACCGTGTCGCTGACTTTGGGAAGTATGATTATGAGTTTACAATAAAACTTATAATCACACACATAAAGTTATGATATATCATTTTCCTGCCGATATCGAATGGCTTAGAATTTTGTATTAAGTTAACGTAAAACGCTCAAGTTCAAGTTTAACTTCAACACATGATAACATTTATTGTAAATGAGTTCACCGCACTGACCTTTCAACGAGTTATTACCATGTTGACACATGCTGACACGTGCAGTCGCGGTGCACGCGCGTTACTCTTGATCCTGATATCCCGTGCAGGATCTTTGGAGAGGTTCTACCTGGTGCTATCTCGAGGAAAGAACAGAGAGACTATGAGCTATTCTGTTGCCATCCTCTTCTGTGGCAGTATCTGGATATTCAGTATTATTCTTGCGGCTCTTCCTGTGCTAGGTTGGTCAATTAACTTTTGATATGCTTCGTTAATTTCCGGTAAAAATATTGAATAATTCACTATCCTATCAACCTGATGCAGGAAACGACCGGTTTGGTTCGGGTTTCGGCTGTTGTTGACCGACTGGGTTTGGTTCCAGTTCGGCAAACTTTTTACCGCACCTTTCTTCAATTCCAAGGAATGAAAACTGCAGTAATATGCTATCCTGGGCTTTAAAGTCCTCTTTTCTACACTGCAGAACACATTTCTACACAATAAAAATGTGAAAGTACCGCGTTTTAATATTACAATACGGGGAAATTTCAGTGGAATGTTCTAGAACGCTCACACGCGTGTCAATTCAGCCACATATACAAGCCTATAATAATAAGCCCTGATATAAGCCTATTAGTCTATAATCACTGGCTGCAAATATGTTCAAAAAGTACGGGTCGGGTTCGGCAAAAAATTCCTGATTTGGTCGTTTCCTAATCTGATGATAAACAATATTTTATTATTAACCTTAGATTCATTATCCAAATTATTAATTCTTCATCTGCATGTTTTAATCTTCATCCCCTTTTAATTATTTCCGAATTCCCACGCCAGGTTGGAACAGATACGTGTACAGTCCCCTGACCTTCAGCTGTGCTATTAATGGGTTTATGAAGGGGATACACAAATATTACTTCATCACTTTTCTAATTCTTGTCCTGCCAGGTATTGTGTGGTTCATCGACAAATCCTTGTTAGCTCTGTAAAGCTTAAAATGAATTGTCTACGCTCTCTGTATTTTTTTAAAGAATGATACCAAAAATAAGAACATCGCATTTTTTTCCTTTTCTGAAACATTGAGGTCACACTTTATTTTCAGGACCACTACTGATAATTTTATTCAACTACTCCTATGTTTTCATCTTTATAGCGTAAGTTATTTTACCATATCAATCCCAAAGTGATGCCTTTTTATCATTGCTTGATGGAGCTTCATTTCTTTTTTCTGAACGTCAAAAAAGTACCATCATAACCACCCAACAGATAAAAAATGCTAAAAGTCTGCTTTCAGGAGACTACCAAAACGAAACGCGGTAGAACGAAACAACCATCTTAAAGTGGTTATACCACTTGTTTTAATAACTGTAAGTTAATTTCGACGAACGATGTTTCTTAAAAACTTCTGGATAGTGATTGTGATAATGATAATATAATGATAAGCGAATATATTTTTTATACAACACCGGCAAAAAGTTGAATTATTAAGATGCAACTTTTACACTCAGCCATAATCATCGAAATCATCATAACTTGGTCTTATGAACCTCATAAAAACATATCCTTGTCCCATTACGCCACTGACCAGTATTAGATTATAAACTAATATAAATATTAGTAGCGTAATAATTTTTAATCACAATAACTGGAACAATGAAAGACAAAAAGTAAAGTAAAGCTAGCACAACACATATTGATGTGGAGAGTCAGGGCACACCTTCAAAATATGTTAAATATTTAGCAGCAGACTAATCACAGATAGACTGTATTCCTTAATTAATAAAGAAAGGTTTGGTCTGGTGTTGTAATAAAGCTTACTTTTACAACTATTGTTGTCCAGGCGTGCTGCTCAACAGTCAACCCTGATTTCAGCCCATAAACTGGACAAATATCAATTTTTTGAATGAGACTAACTTAATAATATGAAAGGTAAACAATATATTCTCTGTGATATGTAGGATAATGTTTATCGAGACGTTGAAACTACGGGTATATGCCTCACAGAATGGCTAGCCTCACAGAATGGCCAAATTTGTAAATGTTTTTGTAACTAATTTTTTATATAAGACTGGTAGGTTTTGTGGATACCATATGAAACAAAAGTCTTCTGGCAACACTTCCTGTGGTGAAATCATTAACTAGGACCACATTTTCTGGCATAAATATGACTGTTTATGTAGAAATTTTGAGCACTGAAAATTTGTTTTCAAATTTTTGAACTAAGTTTACATTTTGGTGAGAACTTCTGGCACCAGTATGACAGAAGATGTTTAAAGAATAGTATTCATCAAACAAAACGAACATTGTTCAATATAGGAAGAAAAAATGCTAAAATGGCTACACGCCTCACAAAATGGCCAAAATATGCCTCACAAAATTTGTTTTCAAATTTGTGAACTAAGTTTGCATTTTGGTGAGAACTTCTGGCACCAGTATGACAGAAGATGTTTAAAGAGTAGTATTCATCAAACAAAACGAACATTGTTCAATATAAGAAGAAAAAAATGCTAAAATGGCTACACGCCTCACAAAATGGCCAAAATATGCCTCACAAAATTTGTTTTCAAATTTGTGAACTAAGTTTGCATTTTGGTGAGAACTTCTGGCACCAGTATGACAGAAGATGTTTAAAGAATAGTATTCATCAAACAAAACGAACATTGTTCAATATAGGAAGAAAAAAATGCTAAAATGGCTAAACGCCTCACAAAATGGCCAAAATATGCCTCACAAAATGGCCAAAATTTAAAACTCCTTTTATTCAATGAAACAATAAGTCTAAAGTATTCACAAGCTATTTATCATACAATAACACCCCAGATGGAGTGTTTTTACAGCCGAATGAAGGTTATAAATCATGAAATCAGGGAATATGAACAACGCCACACAAAATGGCCATTTTTAGTGTAGGAAATTATGCCCTTTTTATTCAGTTCTAAGAAATTTCACCTATATGGGGGTGTTAACAAGGCATATTTATACCAGCAGCATGCCTGAAACAAGAGCCAAAGGTTTTAGAAAAATAAAATTTTCTCTTTTTCATTTTTTTTGGCCATTTTGTGAGGCATTTTTTCTTTTTTGTGAAATAATTTTTCACAGCTCAGTTTTTTCGTGAGTTTTAGGTTATTACCCCATTCCTTAATAGGTTTTCTAACAACGTGTGGTGATAGAAATTTAAAAAGTATCTCCATCAAAAAATTATAGAAATTCAGATTTGGCCATTCTGTGAGGCATGTTTTTTTGGAGGAAGATTTTCCGGCCAATTTTTCTCAAAGAAAAAATGGTTATGAGATTAAATCAACCCCCGGGAAGAAAAATATGAGTGTCAACTTAGCTTCTTATGAGATAAAAACTGGGATAAAGTGTGTTTTGTGATTTTGAGAGAACTTCCTTTTTTTGGCCATTCTGTGAGGCATATACCCGTAAGGCAATTAGACCACCAAAATTAACAAAATCTCGTAGGTGTCTTCACTCAAAAACCTAATTCTTCTACATTTTTCAATATTTTCCAATTATAAAACACTAGCAGGAACCCGTCTAACCCTAAAGTGGTGTCAAGACTCAAGAGACTAAAATAATTATTACCTATTTAATTCGCGTTTTTGACACCACTTAGGGGTCCAAATTTTGGGCTCTAAAACTCCTATTTCTTGGCCAATTTTTTATTTCTTCATGCTGATTTGAAGGCCATTAAAGCATTTGACCCAGTCAAAAAAGTTTCAGTTGTATATCTTTTACGGTTTTTGCGGAAAGTCGTGTTAAAGTTGATGCCGTGGTGTCAGTAAAATGGCACAGATAAATATATATATATCGTCTCGCTTTATATATAGTAAGATGAGCATAGCTCACTTTTTGCTTACAATTTCTTGAATTACAGATAAAAATTAAGTTCTACGACAATTGAATTGAATCACAAGTGTTTCCCTATTTAAAACATAATCATAATGTTCATACTTCATATTATGAAGTGAGCTGAGTAGAGCTTGTAGAATTGTAGTGAATGGAAATCTAGCGTCCGTCACAACAAAACAACGGGCGCAATTCTTGTAAATTTCGCCCTTCAAAAAATTGGGCGGCAAAATTTCGAAATTTTCCGGACAGAATTCAGACTTTGTCCGTCAAATAGTGAACTCGTATAGTTTGCAGTTGTGGTGGTGTATGGACATGTGAACGTACCTTATCGGACCTTATTTGGACGGACATTACATGAACGGACATAATTGTGAACGGACATTAATATGAACGCTCGAAGGCATTCAAAACCATAAAAAATCCGAATTTTTTTCAATTTTTTGACTTTTTTTAAATTTCAGCAAATGATTTTTTAATCCATTTTTCATACAGTAAGTAAGAAAAGCAGTCATTATGATTAAGCAGTAAAAATGTTAAAATATGTGTACATGATCAGTGTCTAATATCGGGTGGGCGACAATTGACCCCCCGACAATTGACCCCCCGACAATATAATTTATTACAATTAACCCTGACCCTGACCCTGACCCTGACCCTGACCCTGACCCTGACCCTGACCCTGACCCTGACCCTGACCCTGACCCTGACCCTGACCCTGACCCTGACCCTGACCCTGACCCTGACCCTGACCCTGACCCTGACCCTGACCCTGACCCTGACCCTGACCCTGACCCTAATCCTGACCCTAACCCTAACCCTGACCCAGGATCCTGACCAAGGACCCTGACCCTAACCCGATCGATTGACCCCAGTTTAATTACATGGGGGGTCAATTGTCGGGGGGTCAATTGTCGTACTAAACCCTAGATTTCGCGACAATTGACCCCAGTGTAATTACAATTTACATATGGGTCAATTGTCGGGGGGTCAATTGTCGGGGGGTCAATTGTCGCGGTACCCTAATATCACATATCATCTTCATTAAATGGGTTTTCGTGCATGAAATAGTCCATGCTTAAACAAGCATCAGTGATTTCTAGCTTTATGGAAATCTTTTTTTATCAAACTACCCCGGTCCTGCATTTCATTGTTAACTTTTACAAGCCATTCGGCGTGAAGTGGTTTTATCTTAGACAACTTTAGGTTAACCTTAACATCACGTAGAGCTTTCCTAGCACTGTTTCATTACCTCCCCTCAGTAATATGAACTATAACAACGTCGGACAATGTCCTTGGCAACACGATTTACCGTAATATCTAGAGGCTGGAACAAGTTTGTCATTTTGGCGGGGACTAACTCATGAACTATGTTGTTGAGTGCCATAATTTTGTTGACTTTTTCCCGCCAAGTGACCCTTGAAAACATCATATACTAGTAGAGTTTTCTGTGCCTCCGGCAGACCAAGGAGAACCTATCCGTCGTTAACTTACGGCACAATAAAGTTCTCAAAGTTGTCATATTCTGGACAAAAAGTTCGAAATGGAAAAATTTTTGAAAAAATTTCAACGGACTTTAACTTGGACGGACATTAATTGAACGGACTTTATTTGAACGGACATTAAGATGAACGCTAGGGCCTCCAGCGTTCAAGTAATGTCCGTCCAAATAAGGTCCGATAAGGTAACCTCCCTCACCCCAGTGTCCTCCCCAACTGTTTTAATAGCGAAGGATTCAGCGTTGTATCCAACCATGGTGACAGCGTGATTTGGCCATCCCTTGCAGGTCGTGTCCTTCACTCTAGTACTGCTTCATCTTGCTAGTCACCTCCCAGTTCTTGAGTAGTAACTTGCATTTGAGGTGGTGCTGCTCGTTCAGGGGTTAATTGTGTTCGTCGAGTAGACATTCTCAGCATGATTTGGGAAATATTAAGCTTTAAGAAGTTTCTAAAACTCTTAACTGTAATGGAATATATGAAGAAGTTAGCCATTATGTTGAGGTACTGCACTAAAATAACTGGTCGCCACACTCCAGTGCCATGCTCTGCTCCGAGGAGACTGGTTATAAATGCAACAATGAACGGCAGAGTGGAAAGTAGCAAGACTCCCACTGTTAGCAGCACTGTTATCACCCCCTCCCACCGTAATGTTCGTCCGTGCTGCGAGCTAGCCTTTTTGGCGACAACCAGAATAGCAATTGATGTGACCGTGATAGCTACGTAGGAGAGGAGAGTAACGACAGGTAATGTTATCAGAAGATACCATGTGTACCATGATGGAAGATTTGGTGAGTTGAAACCATAGTTACAAACATAGTCTTCATAACTAAAGTAAACAGCATTTCTTAAATAGATTATCTTCACCGTAAGCGCTGGAGAGTAAACACCCACCGCTAGAAGCCATACTGCAGTACAGATTTTATGTCCGAACTGTGAGGACCAGATTCTGGATTTCAAGGGGTATTTCAAGATTATCAGCTTAAGGGTTGTCAGAGTGCAAGTTTGGAACATGGTCGCCTGTGCACATATCCAGCTCATATTTTCTGAAACTTCACAAAGTAGTTCTCCTACCACCCAGCGGTCTGTGATGAATGCCAAAGTGATTGGGAATACTTTGAAAACAGTTTGTAAAAGGTCGCAGATAGCCATGTGCTGCATCACCGCTATGATAACCTTCTGAAGTTTGATGGCATTGTATCTTATAGTCGCTACTAGAATGATGCCGTCCCCAATTAGGGACGCCATAAGAGTAATAAAGCTCCATAAGATGAAGATACATCGCTCCCGGTCATCTGTTATTACGTAAAGTGTCTTGTTCAAGTCTGTTCGCATTTTATACGGAACTAGAATACATAACTGAAATGATTGTTGTAACAGAATTGAAGCTAGTCATAATTTGTGACAGTAAGTTTTTACAAATTCAAAAAAATGTTCGTCAGAACCGAAAATATATATTTTTTAAATCGTACTACTAGTTTCGGAATAGCCTGTAGCGAAAAAATTAAAAAAATGAAAAGGTAATTACTGAAAACATAATTCATTAATACACGGTATTCTAAAACGAGCTAAACATTTCCCGGTGTTGGTACTTATCTCCTATTCAGTAATCCTAAGCCACTCTGGTCTCTGTGCCAGGGCACTTTACTAGTATACTAGCTGCAGGGGGTTAGTCCTACGAGCCAAGGAGTGTATACCACCAGCCATCCGCAGCTTGGTGTCTGCATCTGTGGTTAAAGTAATTAACGTTAACGCAATATTGCGGGGACTGGTGACAGATAATGACGAAAGATGACAAAGCATATCCAAATTTCGGTCCACCTTCAAGAATTCTAAAATAAGCAGAAGTCAGGAAAATTTTCGTTGTTATCCATTAATAGACGATGTTAAAGAGCGAGTCCACTTAAATGAACATTCAACTATTGGGATTGGAAAACCATTGTTTGACATGATATTCATATTGATAGAAACAAACAAATTTTCAAATTGTACAAGCTTTGCTTTTTGACATGTACTATGTTTCAGCAAATGAAAACGAAACCATTTGATTTAACGTCAAATTTTGGACAAGTAGGTCACTACCGCTCATAAAACTTTCTCCTTCAAATAGTGAACTCGTATAGTTTGCAGTTGTGGTGATTTCGGGATATGTGAACGTAACCTCCGTCACCCATCCTTGTGTTTAACAACTTCTCTTTCAGATTGCCTTTGTGTTGTGCTCCCTACCTACAACCGTGATTTTAGTGATATTACTGTTCACCGAGGGGCACCAACTGTCAGCTCTGACCCCCTTCCACTACAACATAATACACTGGGTCCTGTTACTAGATTCCTGTGTCAACCCTATGATATGCGCTTTTCTCAGTAAAAAGTTCAGAGGTTTGGGTCCACTTTCTTATTTAAACGACCGCTGGTGGAGCTTTGAATTAATTTTACTTCACGTTGGAAAACACTTCAATTTAGCTTGAATGACTGCAACCTCTACTTCATCAGAACACCTCACAATCCCTCTTTTCCAGGAGCGTGTAAGCAACTGTTAGCAGCAATCAGTAAGAGCACAGCGGAGACGATAAGACACACCTTCACTGCGGAGGGTGGTCTGGTACACAGGATCAGACACAGTGTGGCTGATTACCTGACCCGGTGTGCTCACAGCATCAGAAAGGTTAGTACCACTAACATTTAGGAACATGTTAATTAAGGCTTATTATTAGGACCGTGAACCGACTATTTGATTGTTTTATCGCAATTTAACGAAGACATGCGGCATACCATCAAAATGTTGGCATTTAGCATCAAATGCTTACCATCAGGTGATAGGAAAATTATAAATTCCAGGATGTGAAAGCAATGAAAAAAGCTGTGACTAGTACAATGTGTCCTAAAATATTCCGATCTGAGTCGGAAAACTTCGTCATCAAAGTCACCATCAACAACAGATCAGGTGAGCTTAAAGTCTTGATAATTTATTTTTGATAGATTCTGTTGTAATGACGTCTAGCTTACGGAGTCGGCTGAAAGTTTCAATAATCGTGCGAGCGTCTCAGAAATTTACCTCTATCTACTATTTTTTCCGAATTTCAAAAATGAATATTCATGGGATTCCAATAAGATTTTTCAGGGCTGTCGATGGACCCTTTACTGTCAGCTACCCCACAAGATCGCTGTATTACTCAGCTGACTTCCATCGCTTCTAGTAAAGATACCGACTCCGTCAAACGACAGGTAAGAGGCGACCACAGGACAATCCTTTGATAAAAGTTATACCTGTAATTTAAGAATTGTCCTATTTTAAGAAGTACTTTGTTACTTTATTACTTATCTTCTTCGCAATTGAACATGTTCTCATGTCCTAGTAATCTATCTTTATCAAGCTAGGCTGTAGAATATTTCCATCTAAAATCATATCTTGATTTTACTAGTTTTAAATCCTTGCTTCTTTCAGAGCTCCACAGACTCTAGAAGAACAAGTCTAGAAGGGTTCCAAGCTGGTGCTGCTAGTAGGAGAACAAGCGGGGACAGGAACCCTGCCGGCATTTTAAAAGATGTGAGTTGCTTTATAATACTGTATTTTTATCGGTACGACAGTACTCTGATTGTGTGTACTCATTATTGCTCATCCCTTGAAGTTTAACGCACGTCATGATATCTTAAAATTTGAAGGTAATGAATTTTGAAAGACTGAAACTTCAAAGAACAGAGTTCTTTGATGGATACATAAGAATTATGGCATAAGTGGTTTGTGATGTGTAGAGTGCTCTAACTTTGACAATCAAAGCGAGCTTTTCTGTAAAAATAGATATCAGGAGTAACGGTTGAAAGTTTCAGAATTGATGTTTATCATCGGTGCCAAGCGGCCAAGCTAAGTTTCATCAAGCTGAGCGATTCTCATGTACTTCATGATTAGTTCATATTGCACAGCTAACAGCTTAGCTTGAGACTGACACTCAACATCAAAATTGTGAAACTTTTAGGTTTCCGTAACTCCAATTTCACTTGTAGAAAACTTAGAACACACAACTTTAACCCATTGGAACTCTTAGTTTCCTTATTATTCTGAAAACTTCGGTCTTCGCGTCGATTTAAGTTTTCTCCCACCCTGAAATGTAACAAGTCTCTCTCTTGAAATATAAGTTTTCCTCGTCATACAATTCCTGCTAGGTTCACACCCCCTCCCCTCTAGGCCTGTCAATATAAAGTTAATTTTAACAGCAAACTAATTTGCAGAATCATTAGTCACCCCACCCTTTAATCGTCAATATTAGCTAAATAACATGCTCGTTATATTTCAGGTCATTATAGAGGAAGTGGAACCTATCTTAATCTGGTGCACGTGCGGCATGAACCGTTGTAGATGTATGGGGATACCGGCAACTCCTGTATAGAGTCAATAGAAGCGATTAGTGGTCTCTGATGTGGAAATAGGAGTGCAGGAAATTCTAGAATATTAAATATTTAGTCTCCTATACTTAACGAGATGAACTCCGATATGAACGATATAATGAACAGTGAAAACTACTGCTAAGTCAGTTAGGAAAACTTATGGTTTATAACTTGAGAATGTGATTGCTTAATGTTTATCGGATGGAAAATTATGGAACTAATAGGACGTGTTATGTATTTGTGCTGGCAGCTAATCAAAAGATGAACTGAAAAAAGAAAGAATTCTTAGAAGGAATATCCCAAGTTATACTCTAATGTAAATCTAACATGGAAAGCAGATTGGATTTAAAATTTGTATGTAAAATGTAAATGCTGTTTTGTGTTTACTTTTTGACAGGAGAATAATATTAACAATTTAAATTTCATTTTGTTGAAAATTCAGTTGAAAATCTTCCAAATTTCCTTTTTGGATTAATACTTGGTTGGTTTTCTGCCCTTTTCTGACGATTAATTATCTTAATTGTGGTAAGAAAGATATAATAGACGATTTAGTGAGGCCGATTCTCACTGGCGAATGGTCACTGTAATTGATGCAGCATATGATTTAAGAACTTGGAAAATAGCCTTTTATCTGTTCAATCACTTAATTAGATGTTCTGATCCGGAATCTAGCTTTTTGATGATCACTAATTATTAGTAATTGCACTAAATTAGTAATTGCACATAATAGATATTTGAAATGTAATATATACATTTTATAACGTTTAAATCTTTAAAAATCTTTATTTAACCTCAGTTTGAAAACAAAATCTACTGATGGTTTTTTACAGGTACTTATCAAAAGTAAGTAAGAATTACCATCGTTCAAGATGGTTTTTATGTTTGTATGTTTTGTTTACATATAAAACTGGGAAAACTCTTCTCAAATTAGAAGAGACGCTTTAAAATCAAATTTTGATGATGACAATCTAACTTATTGAACTTAAAATAAGTTAAATTATTATTTGTATTAGGGTAGCTAAATGTTTTTTGTTAATATAATCGCTTGGGCTGCGATATTAGGAGTTGAATTTGCTGATTGGGCTAAATGCGTGTCCTGATTTCCGCATGGTTGATTATTTATTGCATAACTGTAATTGGAATGGTCGAATGTAATTGAAGTTGTTCAATGGGTCGACTCAATATTCAGATGTGAGTGTATTGGTCAAGCGTTCGAATCGAACTGCTTACTAGTTGTTTTTAACTTTAAGGAAAACAATTCCTGTTGTTTTTTATTCTAATAGTAATTGTCCAGCAATAAAATCTAAAGATATTTCACATAAGTTATCTATTTAAAAAAATTCTCTATTAAAAACCATCATTCATCAGTCAGTACTATCGTTTGTTTGAAATTAAAATAAATAATTAAATAAAAATAATTCAGAAAATATATTTAAAGATAAAAACTGTTTTTATTAACCTTTACAAAAATTTCATTCAAACTAACAAATAAAAAGAGTTCCCATACTATCACATCACACTATTAAAACGCTATATAACCCAGCACTATCCTTCACTGTCCACTGTGTCCAGTACTCTACACTTGAACACACAAAACTTTCAAAGTCTATTCCAAGTATGAATGTGCACGTGACAGTGTGGACACTTGTGAACCACATCCTTGCAAGAGTCAGCAAAGAAGGGTATGATACAGCACATGAACCAGCCTCCGACCAGCAGTATAATACCCACTATCAGCCATGTGAACGTACCTGAGGGTCAGAAATAGTTCCAGATTATACTTTTCAGAAGAACAGCACAAATACCATTTACATATTGTATCAGGGTCATTCATCAGTTCGTCGACGACAATTCCGTGACTGTACTGCAAGATTACTGTGACTGTACAGCGACTGTACTGCGACTGTACTGCGACTGTACTGCGACTGTACAGCGACTGTACTGCGACTGTACTGCGACTGTACTGCGACTGTACTGCAGCAGAATTGTAATCATGATCACTAAGATATTCCTATTCTTAAAGCATTCATAGTAAACCTGTAATAAACTCGATCTGAGTTAGTATAGTGTTTTGGCAGGTAAGACAGAATGTATGGGTGGGATGCTTGCTCCAAACTATACTCTGTGCCGGTATTACTACAGTATTAGTAATAGTAGGGGTCTGGTGAACAACTTCAGGGTGCGGTACTCCCACCAGGGGCGTCTTTTCTTGGCTTTCATACTCTGAACAGTGTTAAAGCTTTATTATTTATGGTTTACACTAATTTCAGACTGTTCCAGTTTTAATAAACAACCAATATAATCGGTATAATTGCATGTGAATTCGGGAGTGTTCAAGAAGTTATGGCGCGTAACAATTCTAAGCACCTGCCAGGGTAAATTCTTAACAATTCTAGGTACCTGCCTGGGTAAATTCTTGGCAATTGTAGGTAACTACCTAGGTTTTTTGTTTGTTGTTTGTTTACTACCTGGGTTGATGGGGTACTGATTTACAGGGTAGCCAGCTTGAGCCGGGTATGTGGCAGACTGATCAGTACCGTACCCAGTTGGCTGACTCACTTGTGGATATAACTCCTGAAGCATGCAAAGTGCGTCAGATTCAAACAGAAGTTGCAACTTTTTGTATTTGGAGAGTTAATAATCATTGATATAATCAACGATTATTAATACTGGTTGACCGTTGGCTACATCAACATGTATGTAACAGTTATCATGAACTTTAAACTAAAATATTTGCCCAGCAGTGAAGAAAATGAAAGTTGTACCTCCGAAGGTGGAGCAGCTGGAGCTGTTCCAGCCTGGTCATGGTACGGTCCCTCGTAGGGTGGTGGTGGAGTTGATCTTTGTTGCTGATCAGCCATACTTTTGTAGACTGTTAAGCGTTCAAATCGAACTGCCTACGACATACTAGTTGTTTTTAACTTTAAGGAAAACGAATCATGTTGTTTGTTATTCTAATTTTGCAACAATTAAATCTAAAGAAATCTCACATTGATTGTTTTTGTCAAAAAACTAACATTCATCGGTTAAAAACTAGCATTTGTCAACTAAACTATCATTTGTCCATCAGTGCTATCGTTTGTTTGAAAATCAGAACACATACAATTCAAATCAGGAAATATATTGAAAGCTATTAAATTTTTTTATTAAACTTTAAAGTTCAGTTAAATTAAGTATTAACAAAAGATGTTCCATACAATCACATCACACTATTAAAACGCTAGATCACTCAGTACAATCCACTTGTACAAATCAAAGTCTGTTCCACGTGTGGATGTGCATGTGGCAATGTGGGCACTTGTGTTCAACGTCCTTACAAGAGTCAGCAAAGAAGGGTATGATACAGCACATGAACCAGCCTCCAATCAAGATTATTATACCACCTATTAGCCATGTGAACGTACCTGAGGGTCAGAAATATTGCTCGATTATACTTGTTTAGTAGAACAGCGGTTCCATAAGTTAGCATTATTTTCTACACTTATCAAAACCAGTAATAAGTTATTAATCAAGATATTCGTATTACAGGATAAGGTCCCTTCCAGCCATTGTCACCTGCCACCTAATTTGGCAGGTTTTACAGTAAGGCTGATAATCAATTTAAAGCCTTAATATGATTCCCGTAAAATTAACCGCAATCCTGCCTATTTATTTTATACGCGCAGAGATGTATCTCACGTGATTATTAAATTGAGTTGTTGATTATTAGAAAAGCCTGCAAAATTAAGACAAAACCTGCCTAACCTTTCCCCTACCCACAGCAGGTTTGCTCTATTTAGGCAAGTTTTCCGTTAAATATAAAGTCGAATGCTGCAGATTTAATGCAGATCCTGCGTAAGCTTAAATAATTCGAATCAACTTGTTGCGTGATTAAACCTATATTGGCAGGTATTTGGATAATTTGAGTGTACAATGTGGAATACTGTAATGATCGTATAACTGTAAGGAATAGGACTGAGACTTGGGTTCCGGTTGTGCAACTACAGAATACTACATTGTACATGGTTCTATAGTTTATACGTCATGTAGTCACTAGTCAGTGGCGAAACGACCGCCCCGGCTACCCCTGCTATGCGGGAGGGGGGCGGCCTCTTAGGTACGTTTCGCCGCTGCATATTAGTCCACTGTTACCAACACGGGGGTCTATGATAAGTTTGAGTATAAAAGTATAAAAACCGATTATTATTGGAAAATAACTGTTTGCTTAACTTAAGTTCTTATATTGCCATTTTAGATTAGATTGCTATGTTCTTATGTAGTGAGGACAGCACTTTTTCAGTTGCAGTGCAACTACCAGTACAGCTGTTCAGTGTAAGATTGTAGCAGCTGAACATAACCTAAAAATACACATGTTTTATCGTTTTACTACCTACTTTATTACATTTAGTGAATGCAGCTGCAGGTATTTTTAGATTATGTGATATTTGATCGGAAATTGGTGCATATTTTCGAATTCAATAAATCGATGATAACTGGTGTTGTCAGTGCATCTTTTTTACACAGAGGTGTATCTAATCTTCATACATCATATTGATTGATACTTTGCACCAACATCGTTTTTCAATTCAGAGGAATAACGGTTCTTTTGCGATAGTCAAAACGCGACAACTAGCGCTGGATGGCGACAACTAGCGCTATCCAGCGCTAGTTGTCGCCATCCAGCGCTAGTTGTCGCTATCCAGCGCTGGATAACGCTGGCCAGCGCAAAATATATATGTTCGATAATTGTCGCTATCCAGCGCCAGTTGTCGCCATCCAGCGCTAGTTGTCGCCATCCAGCGCTAGTTGTCGCTATCCAGCGCTAGTTGTCGCTGGCTATGCGACACTGTCGCACGCGATAGTTTGCGATGGCCAGCGCAACTGGCCATCGCAGAAAACAGTTCGATAACTAGCGCTGGATAGCGACAACTAGCGCTAGATAGCGACAACTAGCGCTGGCCAGCGCTAAGCGATAGCCATCGATATCCAGCGCAAAATTTTTGCGCTATTACTCGTCAGCTAGCGCTGGCCAGCGCTGGCCAGCGCTAGCCAGCGCTAACCATCGCTAGCCAGCGCTAACCAGCGCTAGCCAGCGCTAGCCAGCGCTGGCCAGCGCTAGCTGACGAGTAATATCGCAATTATATTGCGCTGGCCAGCGCTGGCTGACGAGTAATACTAATATCGAGCGTGCTAAATCACTCTACAGTCGATCTTCGAGATTGTTCTGAAAGGGCCCCCGATGGTTGTAACCAACTTCAATCGATGTATTTTCGGACGCTAATTCCGAATCAACCCGCATGGGCCCATGACATATGGTTAAAATGCTCTCCTGACGAGATATTGGCGAAAAACTGTACATGTATCGATCACGTGATATGACCGTATAAGGAAGTTAGTCTAATTTCTCGTTATTATTAGGGTTTCAGCATATGTTTTTGTTAAGGATTGGGTTAGGGTTAGGGTTGGGATCAGATTAGAGGGTTAAGGTTTCGAAAAGTCGTTCAGAACCAGCTAGAGTCAGAGAATGGGTTAAAAAAGTCACGTGACAGTCGAGTGTAAAGTGATTAATCATCATCCGACTAATATCGCAAGTATATGATTTTGATACATTGCGCTGGCTAGCGCTGGCCAGCGCTGGCTAGCGCTGGTTAGCGACAACTAGCGCTGGCTAGCGTTGGCTAGCGCTGGCTAGCGCTGGCTAGCGCTGGCTAGCGATGGTTAGCGCTGGCTAGCGCTGGCTAGCGCTGGCCAGCGCTGGCCAGCGCTAGCTGACGAGTAATAGCGCAAAAATTTTGCGCTAGATATCGATGGCCAGCGCTGGCCAGCGCTAGTTGTCGCTATCCAGCGCTAGTTGTCGCTATCCAGCGCTAGTTGTCGCTGGCTATGCGACACTGTCGCACGCGATAGTTTGCGATAGTGTCGCATAGCCAGCGACAACTAGCGCTGGATAGCGACAACTAGCGCTGGATGGCGACAACTAGCGCTGGATAGCGACAACTAGCGCTGGATGGCGACAACTAGCGCTGGATGGCGACAACTAGCGCTGGATAGCGACAATTATCGAACATATATATTTTGCGCTGGCCAGCGTTATCCAGCGCTGGATAGCGACAACTAGCGCTGGATGGCGACAACTAGCGCTGGATAGCGCTAGTTGTCGCCATCCAGCGCTAGTTGTCGCGTTTTGACTATCGCAAAAGAACCGGAATAACTGTTACGAAAGGCATTTATTTCCATAGAGTTTTACGGTCAATCCCAGCTTTTCTCATGGCCAAGCCCAGTAAGTATATCGATTCATGACGATACTGGAGACTTCTGGGGTTTACAAGTTATCGTTATTTAATGCTATAATCATATTAGGGGGGAGGCACTAGGATCATTGCGGTCTGTTTAGACTGTAGAGAGAGTTCATACTTTCATACGACAATGTTATGCGTGTTTTCAAATATAATAGGCGGGTTTATACTTTTGCATTTCAACTGCGATAGTGAAGTCCCGGCCGTTATAGGCACGGGTTACACTAGTGGATTTAAATAATTTTATTTAGGCAGGAGTGATGATATCGCAGACTTCGCAATTAAGTAGGCATGATTATGGTTAAATTCGCAGTGGCACTGGATGGAAGGGGCCTTACATACTAAGAGGGTAGTCAATAATAAGATATTCATATTTCTAAGATCTTTATATTAAACCTGTAATATAGTTGATCTCCGTGAGGATGGTATTTTGACAGTTAATACAGACGGTCTGTATGGGGTGCCTACCCCAAACTATATTCTGTGCTGGTATTATTATTGTGTTCTGTTGAACTACTCCGTGGGGCGGTGGGCCCACCAAGGGCGTCTTCTCTTTGTTTCCATACCCTGAAAGGTAATAATCTTCATTATTTATGGTTTACACTTACCTCGGCCTGTTTCAGTTCCAATGAACAACCAATACAATCTGAATAATGTATAATATATGTATAACAATGTATAATAATATGTAATCGCATGTGATAATGTGCCTAATGTATAAAGCGCACAATAAATCAAGGTACCTACCAGGGCTGGCAGGGTACTGTTGAACTGGGTACTGTTGAGCAGGATATGAAACAGACTGATCAGTCCCGTATCCTGGAGCATACACTTGTGTTGGATACTCCTGAAGCTGGACAATGTGGTGCGTCAGATTCCAACAGAATTAGAGAGTTAATAATAATTATTAATACTGGCTGACCGTTGGCTACATGATAGTCATCATGAACTTTTAAAGAAGGATTTGCCCGGCAGTTATGCTGTTATGGATAAGAAACTGAAAATTGTACCTCAGGAGGTGGGGCTGTTCCAGCCTGGTACGGTCCGGCCGGGTACTCGTACGGAGGCGGGGGAGTTGTGCCTTGTTGATCAGCCATACCTGTCAGTCAGCTGACTTACACAGCATTTTAGGTACTTTTATATCATCCTGGGGTGGGAATTGTTAACTTTTAAGTTAAATTTAAATGACGATTATTATTGAACTTTGACACCGTGACAGCTGAGGTCCACTGTGCACTACTATACGGCGGTAATTAAACAATTTTCGAAAGCCTCGTAACTATAAATCTTAATCGTAGATCAGATATCTATGTTGCAAGACCTACAGCTGCACACTGATTGTAGTTTGTGCGTCACGAATACGTGCAGGTGTAATGGCCAGTGGGGTATATTCACGTACCACAAGCTGGACTTACACTTACAGCAAAGATAAAAGTGTGAGTAACCATCAAGAACAAAAGAAAACGAATGCTAGCTGCCTACCAGTACGGCGGATGTAATACGGACAGTGAACAAAAAGACACAATAGTAAATTTTGAGTACAAGTAAAACGTTAGTACAGTGAGCACATAAGTAAAAGAAAGACATATAAGGCAGTCTTACGCTTACTTAAATTGTCTTTATCTTTAAGTTTAATCTCTACGGTAGATAATTACGAATCATATAACATACAACGTTATATGCACGTAAATGGATGTGCAATTTGCAAATTTGATAAGGGATCTTTCACATATTACGTAATCATTTTTTGGAACATTTTTACCCCCCCCCCCCACCCCTCCGTAATCAGTTTTACACATAGATATTGTGTCAAAATTACACTATAGCCGCTAGCGTAATCATTCGGAAACGCCCCGCCCTCCCCCCTCAGCTGATTACGTAATATGTGAACGTCCTCTAATCATACAAATATAATATCATACAAGCCAAAACGGGTGGCCAAAAAAACCTTTTACTAAACAAAATATCAACACATGGTACCAAGACAGAGTGGACACAACGATAATACCAACTTCGACGACCTCATTATCTTTAGCAACATTGTACACACCCCGTTATAATAGAATATAGAACGTGTATACTTGATACAATGTACTCATTATACATTTAATACAAGGTATGCAAGGTCACATCGAGGTGATAATATTGTGATAATAAGGGCCAATATCGCGAATTAACAAAGGAGAAACACACGGACCTTACACAGAAATAACGAGCAGGGCCGTATTATTCGGGGTTATTTAAAAACCTTTTTACGATTTAATTTTGATGGGCTTGAAGCTATTGCATGATACATTTTGAAGAGACAATGTAAAAGGGCTAGCGGAAATATTGCTTTAAACAATAGGTTGTCCAAAAGTGATGTGAAATTGTATACGTGTTTTACAGTCATATGTACTTATACTTGTAGCTAAGGAACTGAATTCAATTTCAATTGTATATATTACATAACTTGCTGCGAACAAATAAAATGGCTTAGCGTTTTGCTGCGACAAACAATTTGGTTTTTCAATTTAGTCACTTTAGCAAGAACCGTTGATCTTACTGTTATCATTCATCTAAAAGAGTTTGGCTGCCCCATTGCCACTAAACTGCCACGGTAACAATGATTTCATGCACAGATTCGATTACAATGTCATCGGTACTGTCAGGTGACCATGATAATTTCATATCACAACTGCACTGTTGCGTCAAATCGGCTGACAAAGTTACACGCAAAAAATGAATCTATAACCGAATAAAGTTTGTAAATCAAATTAGCACCATAACGTGTGCTAAACATGATACTCAAGTGAGCGCTGCAGTAGTATAATAACTATAAACGACATGTGGAAACTCAACACAGCTTCAAACACCTGTTAGATTGTAAAGCTAAAGTACCACTACCTACCGTCCTAATAAACCGAGCGAGTGTTCTGAGGAACACACACTTAAAGTCACTGATCACTGGGTGTCACGTTACATGTTGGACGAGATTGTAATGGCAAACGCCCACGTGGATTCCACTTCTTAGTGCAAAACGTTAGTTAGTAAACACGGAAAACCGCTGAGTGATAGTTGTGCCTTAATAATGCCTATTGACATGGTTGTTAAACATCTGGTCCAATTATTGGCTCCAACAATCAACTCATATAATCTGACGAAACTATGAACTACATAGTATGAATATTATTTCGAATCAAGAACGGTATCGAGTTAAGAATCCTCATAGATCCACGATTACTCATGCAGTTAGCAGTGAGCTTAATCAATTATGAAACAAGTGCACGACGCGAGTCAAAATTAGGTTTGCCAACCGATATTATCGGCCGATAATTATTGGCGATAATTTGCCAAAATCTTTATCGATTATCGCGATAATTCTCGAGAATAATCGCGATAATCTACCAATTTTTATTAAGGGAAAATAGCCTAATATAAATTTAACATATTTTTCTAATCTGTTTCTTTGTTTGTCATGTTAAACCCGACTGCTACCATAATAATTGCAATGTGATGGTATGCTGACGTGCTATGTAGTCGGTATAAGTGTTTATAAAGTTGCGGCAGTGAAAATTTAAATGTCGTGTTATATTATCGCATCTTAGTTAGTAACTATCCAGTTAGTTACTATCTAGTTAGTTATGAGTTAAGTTTGGTAGTTTGGAGGTTGTATGATCAGAAGCAGTTATTTTGGTTTGTTGAAGCACGGAAAGAAACTCATACTGCAACGAGACTGCAAAACCTGTTCGAGCTTGCTATGTAGTGTGTAGTATGTTGAAGAGATATGACCGGATAACTGATGCAGTGAACGAAGTTGTGGTTGACTCGGAGCTTGGTAATCTAATACGGAATACAGGAGAGACTGAGTCAGTTAAAGACACCATTAAGACTGTGTTAAAGAGACAACAATCTCCTTCAAGCAGAATTAATTGTTCAGTTTATTAATAGCAAGCTGGAAGAGTCGAGAGATAGAATCACAACTTTCTCGAACCCTTCTTGATAGGATACGTACACGATATGTCAGGAGAAAGAACCTTAACTTCGTATGATCGCTGTTAACGTTCTACTTAGCTGGGGTGCATCGGCAGAGTCAGGATTTAAAAGCGCTTATAGGCGCTTATGATTGCTTTTCTACCGCTTTTCCTATCACCCATGGCATGGCCTGGTTGGCATGAATTTCGTAGGAGCGACTCAAACGCGCAAGCTGGCGCAGTTTATTTGTTGCCGTTTTACTATCTAATAACCAGATTTTACAAGCTATCTCAGCACGCGCGCGGCTTTTCTAGCGCGTATACATTACTTTTTTCCTATTACATACATCCTGGGTTTAGACCAAGAGACAAACTAAAAGTGATTTGGTCACTGGTCAGATCACTTGTTAACAATGAGACCGACAAATCTAAAATAAAGTTTTCAAGATGTGTGTGTTTTGTCTGTGTGTCCGCGTGTAATTTCCGAGCGGCTTAATGTTAATCAAGAAAACGGTAAGAGTTACGGGGCTGGTTTTTTTCGGTATAGTGCCGACAAAACTTTACTGGGCCGCGCTCAGCCTGTCATTCCGCCAAATCTTTAATGAACATAATAGCCTGGGGTCCTCAGGTAAACAAAACTATGACATGAGGAAGCCAAATGGTAAAGGTTTTTTTAAATCGGTCGGTGGTAAGTGGTTTAATTGATGGTTTAGTTGATGGTTTTGTACCACAAATGTTACTTACTGGGCGGCGCTCAGCCTGTCATTCCTCCGAATCTTTTTTGTTTATAAACATAATAGCCTGGGGTCCCCAGGTAAAAATGTTACATAAAATAGCTTTAGCAGAATGGCAAGAGTTGCGGGGCTCTCTCTCTCTCTCTCTCTCTCTCTCTCTCTCTCTCTCTCTCTCTCTCTCTCTCTCTCTCTCTCTCTCTCTCTCTCTCTCTCTCTCTCTCTCTCTCTCTCTCTCTCTCTCTCTCTCTCTCTCTCTCTCTCTCTCTCTCTCTCTCTCTCTCTCTCTCTCTCTCTCTCTCTCTCTCTCTCTCTCTCTCTCTCTCTCTCTCTCTCTCTCTCTCTCTCTCTCTCTCTCTCTCTCTCTCTCTCTCTCTCTCTCTCTCTCTCTCTCTCTCTCTCTCTCTCTCTCTCTCTCTCTCTCTCTCTCTCTCTCTCTCTCTCTCTCTCTCTCTCTCTCTCTCTCTCTCTCTCTCTCTCTCTCTCTCTCTCTCTCTCTCTCTCTCTCTCTCTCTCTCTCTCTCTCTCTCTCTCTCTCTCTCTCTCTCTCTCTCTCTCTCTCTCTCTCTCTCTCTCTCTCTCTCTCTCTCTCTCTCTCTCTCTCTCTCTCTCTCTCTCTCTCTCTCTCTCTCTCTCTCTCTCTCTCTCTCTCTCTCCCATTACTGTATATGTGGCTGCATAAGTAGCGGCATAATTGGGTTAGCCCGGTAAGATTCGCTGTAATGTTATACCCTACGTTTATTAGGGGAGGGGGCACTGTTAGTGTTTGGGGTCTGTTTTGACTGCAGAGAGAGAGTTCATACGACAATGCATGTTATGCGTGTTTTCAAATATAATAGGCGGGTGTGGTGCGGAGTTAACAAGGGTTAATTTCTATAACGATACAATTGGAGAAATGGGTCACATAATGCAGGTTTTGACTCAGTAACTTAATAACATGATCTCTTTTGCCAGCTCTACTACACATTCTAGCACTGTGAAAGTCTACTTTAAACTTGGACGAAGGAGCCAACGAAGCACCATTAGGTCACGGGTCAGAACACCCTTTACAGAAAGACCAATAACTTGAAGCGAGACTCATGTGATGTAAGTAAAACTAGTACTCGTGATCTAGTAGGAAGGATAGTAGCCGACAAGCCACTGATAGCAGACGGCAAATGGTATTAGTACTTGAACACATAACATTACCCCTATGAACTCAGGAAATCAACATCCCAACAAGACTACTGACTAACAGAATAGTGATCTTTGCCTTTTGTGTTTACTTGCTCGGGAGCTGAGAACCTAGTCTAACACTAGCGCTCAACAGTTTCTTGCTTTCAGTTTGTAGAGTTGTTTCGTGTGATTCAGCTGCACTGTCCAGTCCGAGTACTCCCCCTCCGCCATAGTGTCCTCTGGTTTTAAAGTGTCCTGTACCTTGATGGCAAGCCTCGAGAACTAATGTTTGTTTTTCAGGTACGACAAC